GACTAATTATCTTGTCTATGCCTAACTTTATATGTTACTTGTCCAAATCACAGGAAAGATCAACACTTATACGTTTTCTGGTCAAAAAGGGGACATAATTTTATGCGTTACTTTTCCTTAAAAGAGCATTGAAGTTAGAGTTTCATATAGAAACAAGATAACAGTCAAAGTCGTACTTGAAATTAATGACTTCTAGACTACAGTTATAAGCATTTATTGTTGCGTTGAAATTAATGTGTAGCAGACACATGAGCTTTGTGGATTTCTTGCTATAAAAGGAGGAGAATTCTTCACATTACACTCATCCCTCCTCTCTTTACCATGGCTCCAAAGAAACCTTTCACCAGAGGTGATTCTCATAAGCTGAAAGAAAATGCCAGACGTCTCAGGGAGGAACAGGGTGATCTCTACCCTGGCAATAGTCCACAAGCACCGGTGGAAATTCCCTCTGACTCCGATTCGTCTCTTAAGTATGAGGATATGGCAGGTTTCATCGTCGAAAGTGAAGAGAAGACTTTGAAAGATCCCACCAAGGCTCCAGATCCAGACTATATGGCTTTTCTTGCACAAGAGGACTTCATGGAAAAATATGATCAGGAGGAAGAACCCGAATCCTCATCAGGCTCAAACTTTCCACGAACCAGGAAATGGTTCAAACAAATGCTGGGAAATGTGAAAAAGACCAAAGGAGAACCATCCGAAGTCAAGAAGAACGAGAGGAAGAAAATTTGATCTTATTGTGTGTTACTTTCGTTTATCCTATGTACTTTCCTCTCTCGGGTCTATGATGAATAAACTGGCTCTAGTTTCCTTTAATCGAGATGTTATTTGCCTAATCTATCGTCTGCCTAATAATCTCGATTTAGAAATAAAATTCTTGAAAAAGAATAAGTTCTCTAAATAGTGTCTTGAATAAGACAGCTGAATATACCTTTTGAGAAGTTCGGTCTACCTATTTCAAAAGTTTTACTTTCTTCTAGAGCACGAAGAAAAGCATCGTGTACTGTACTCTCTTGCTAAGGCCAAGGCAATGGCTGACCTAAATGACATGGAAAGACGAAGTCTTTCTAGACAAATCTTGAGAACAGATCATAAGACTCTTATTGCTAAAACTCTTTGCTCATAAAAGGGAACATCTTGAGTACGAACGAAAGAAGAAGGATTGCATTATGGGAAGTCTGACTTCCAATGCACGAGAGATTGCAACTGCTTTCACTGAATATTGTTCTGTGTAACAATTCTCTCGGGAGATACTTTTGTTGCCACAAAAGAAAGACATGTTTGACTTCATTTGTCTCACAAGTCCAATGTTTTGAAAATTACACAAGTCCAATCCTTTTTCGGGTTTGGAATCATGACCAAACATGCTTAATATTTGAGCCTTTATCTCCAACCGTTAAGATGAATCCCAATGGGATCATGTGGCCGAGAAAAGTGGTCCACTTCCCCACTTTGTCTGATACATGATGTGACGTGCATTTAATGCACCTATAAGCACTCGAGTGATTTTCTCTCTCCTCATTAAATGAGGGAATGATCGTTTTTGATCTGCAAACAATCTTATCACTCGCCCATGATGATCAGTTACCTTTTGGAGAAAAAGAACCGGAAGTGATTTGAATTTTTTTTTTAAAAACCGCTCATCTTTAAATGGATCATCCATACCCGGAGACCCGGAGTTCTATAAAACCCCTCTTAAACCTCTCTTGATCTCTTTACCCTACCTTCCTCACTCTTATTCTCTCTTTTACAACCCTTTGTCTCTCTCAAATTCTCAACCATGGCAGAACATCCTCAAGCATCACCATCTAATCCTGAACCAGAAAATCCTCCCACCATGGAAATCCCAATCTTTCCAACAGAGAACCTAAGTTTCATTGAATCCAGAGTACCCTTCATCGTAGGGGGAAGTATGTGGGACGCACATGGATTCCTTGAATATATCTTGGATAGAAATTTTGGTGAACACATCATACATCTCCTTACTGAGACAGGACTATACAGCTTCGTCACACAGCTCTATACTGTTTGGCACCCGGTTGATGTAACCCAGTTTTATATGAATGCTTCAATAACCTCTGATTATTTGACTATCACATCCAGAGTCAATAATCATCATGTGGTTCTTACCGCAGAGGACGTTCGATCAACATACGGGTTTCCACAAAGAGATGAGTCTTACAAAACAGATATTATCTACTATCATCTCGACCCAGAGGACTTCTACGAATCCATCAAGAACAATCATGCACCATCCAAGGCAGATATCTCATGGCCGTTGAAGAAGAAATGGTTCCGGCTAGACTATGAGTTCACTGTTGATATCTTCAATAAAATCGTCGACCACAAGACCTCGGGCACAGATGATGTGACGAAGGAGAAGTTGAAAATGCTGCATGCCTTCCTGAACGAATTTAAAGTTGATTGGTCGAAGATCATTTTCAACAATATTGTTCACACCATCACTTTTCATCGAAAAAGTCCAGGTGACATTGCGAAGAAGTTGGGATATGGTTTTGTGATAAGCCATCTTCTGGCAACAAAAGGAGTCGTTCTGCGCCCAGGAATTCGGCCTGGTCAGAAAGCATGTCATATGAAACAAAAACCATCAGGATATGACAAGCAGAAGGCGTTGGAGTTGGGAATCCCTATTGAGCAAGTCAAAGCCAAGCGGAAATCAAGAACACCTAGGGTTTCAGAAGATGAGCAGCCCAAGCCAAAACGACAAAGACGAGAAAAGCATTCCTCTCGGAGTAAGGCGAAAAAGGGCGAAGAATCTTCAGCTGTTCCAATCTCACCAAAATCTCCACAAAAGAAGAACGATCCTATTCCACCTTCCCTTCTACCAGAATCAATCATAGTCAAAGACTCATCTGAAGACGAAGACAATTTAATTCTCTCCAAAGTTATCAAAAGCAGTCACTTTCGGTCTCCAGTCAAGGCTAAATCTTTCCCGAAGAAATCTTCTACACCGAAAGAAGCTACACCGAAAGAAGGAGACACGAAAGATGCACTTTCTGAGGGGGAAGGTCAACCGAAAGATGTTCTTCCTGAGAAAATTCCTGATGATCAAGAACCCAAGTCTGATCTCGGTTCTCCTCAAGACCACCATCCACAAGAACCTACTTTGGCAGATCAACTCCTTCGAGAGCTGACACAAGAACCTGCTAATGTAGACATGGAGGCCAGTCGCTTAAGTCTTCCACAAGAACCTGGGTCACCAGAAAAGACGAAAGAGGCGACTGATGCTTTGATCGCTTTGCCTTGTCTGCCACAAGAACCTACCAATACAGAGCAGGTAATTCTGACACAAGAACCTGTGTTGGTAGACGAGACAGCAATAGTGCAGGTACAACCCCCGGACATCCCGAAACCATCAGCCCCAGCTCCAGAAGTAAAGGTTCCTCAACCTTCACCAGATCAGTTACTTAGAGAATCCATTGAACGAGATTACAAACGAGTTCAACAGTGGCAAAAGTGGCGCACTGCTCCCCTGCGGATCTTTCTTGAAACTTTTGAAGCAATGCAGGATGAAGAGGAATTTGCACTTGCATGGATTGGCACTGATGATCTTTCAAAAGCTCTTCGAATTGAAGAGATCAATCGCGTTTTCTCTTACAAGATGACAAATCGCACTCTCGGGAGAGATAAAGCTCCAATCTGCATCGAGCTCAACAAACCACCCTTGGATCCAGTTTATGAAGAAGAACTAAAGCAACTTCGATATGCCATGTTGCTCTCAAAGATCAAGACCACTTTAGAGAAGGAACACCAAAATGATCCAAATTGTAATGTCAGTGGCACGAAAGATGAGCTTGGACGAGAGATTGAAGAAGGCGAGAGTGATGAAGGTGAAAATGAAGAAAATGATGATGAGAATGACAATGCTGATGATGAGAATGATGATGATGATGATGAGAATAATGATGATAATGATGATGAGAATGATGATAACGATGACGATGATGATAATGATGATCAGATGGGCAATGAAGGTGCTCAAGAAACCGAACCCGAAGATAGTCACACAATCTTGATCGGTCCTGACTATGACACCTACCCTCAGAGATCCCCCTTAAGAAGACTACCATCTGATAGTGAAGACTCGAAAGAAGCTTCAACTACTCATCCCGAAGATCTATCTCGCGCTATTGTTCCGCATATCCAACCCATAGACGAGACTCCAATCAAGCACGGCAACGAAAGAATGCGTGAAGGCAAACTGGAAGCTTCACCAATCCCTCTTAGCTCAGATAGTGGTGGAAACCGGGAAGCACCACCTCAAGATGATCACATGAACACATCACCAACAAATATTGAGGAAGAATCCCCTGCGAAGTCCCCACGAACTATCATGAACATCATGAGAGGAACTGTTCATTCAGCCGAGACCATACATAGGCAATATCTTGCTTTACGAGAAAAGGACACGAAAGTTATGGATGATCTATGCAAAAATGTCGATTTTCTGATAGCAGCTCAATCTAAACCTCGATCTCCACCTCCAGCACAGCCTCAACCGCAGCAACAAAGCCAATCAGATCACAAGGTCCTTGAGCGAATGACAAAGAAACTTTATGATCTCGAAGCTTCTTTAAACAAAGTTGCGCGACAACAGCACGAAATCAAACACTCTCATTTTGGTCTCAAAGAGCGTATGGATTTGGCATGTACAAAGATTGACACATATCAAGACAATTCGTACCAACTGGGCGAATATGCACTTCAAATTCTCGGATATGCTCAGGATATCTTGCTTGCAATCAACAAGGTCTCTTCCATTCCTCCTACCACTTGTGCTGATGATGCCAAAAAGGGGGAAAAGAGAAATGATGACAGAGATAAGGATGATGATCAGCCGAGAGATAGCACGAAAGATCAAGCTCGTGAAGCACGACACTCTCCCTCTCGGACACCAAGAGACTATGATCAAAGGAACCCTAATCCTTCTTCCAGGTATCGTGGCCATCAATCCTCGAAGTCAAGATATGGTCGATACCAATCCTCCAAACAAATCAAGCCTCGACAATCATTTGGTTCTGAAGCCAAATACATCTTCACAGGACTGCCAAAGAGAGAACAGATGAAATTAAGGCAAAAGCTTATGAGAGACAACAAAGTAACTATGGATGGCATAGGAAACTTTGTGGACTTTGTCCCATTTGAAGAAGGCAGTGGGAAACGATTCGAGGGTTGCAATAATCCCACTTGGTTGAAAACAAAAGACAACCATACAAGACAAAACCACATGAGCACTCAAAATGAAAGGATCAAAAGAGCAAACAAAGAACTGTGGAAGAAGCATGATGAAGAGAAAAAGAGAAGAGAAGATGAAGCAATGGAAAGAAAGAGGATCAAGAATCTCATTGAAGATCTTTCGAGTGTAACCAAAGATTCCCCACAAAATGTCATGCATAATGCAGCTTTCAAAGTGCACAAGGAATCAGGAAAGAGCTACCAAGAAGGCATGAATTCGTTTGAACTGATCTCGTGGTGGAAGCACGGTATTGTTGAAGGAAGCAACATTCGGGAAGCCTACAACAACTACACTGGACTGAACATCAAAGGAGAACATGAAGAGCTTGTCAGGACTAACCCTATCAAAATCTTCAGGGCAAAAATCAATGAGAAAATTGACTTCAACAGGATGCTAAAGCGACAAAAAGAAAAGGATGACCAAGAGCTCAAGGAAGCTGAACGACAGAAATCAAAGCTCTTAGAAATGTAAGTTAACTTTTGCTATATTCCTTTTATGAAGTTTTTGTAATGATCACATCTTTATAAATGAAGCTCTCATTGTTACACATCTCGTGTCACCTGTTTGAGTTACTTGTCCTTATATCGCTTATTAAACGCTTTTATCTAGAAAAAGACTTGTAAACTCTCGAGTATGGCTGTTTTTAAATAAGAAAAATCCTTATGGAACTTTTATCAGCCTTATAAGAAGAGTATAGGTTTTGGCATCATCAAAAAGGGGGAAATTGTTAGGAACATTGTATTAGGATTTTGATGATACCAATGTAATGTAGAAAAGTAGACCCCTAACCATTAGTTGTTTTTGTTCGCTGCTTTCATCTTAGACGAAAGTTGCCATAACTCCCTTGTAATTCGTGTTAAGCTAGACAAACACACGAAAATGAGTTATGACTAGATGATAGGGTCTCCAAGGTGAAAGAAGACACGAGACATGAAGATCATCAACAAGAGTAAAGCAGGAGTTGTCAACAAACACGAAAGGACAGTGTTTGTAAAAATGATCTTTGTTAAACATTACTTCTTTTCACCAACGAGGAGAATGTTTCACCTGTCTGATTTGACAACATCCTAGGACAATAAGGACTTCATCTTATAGGACTCACTTTTCAAGAAGCATTAAATGAAGATGTACTATCTCTTGGAGCTAAAGGACAAAACCCTAATGCTTTCCATACCTTCAACGGCTACATGGTACAACTTCATTAATGGAGCATTTAATGCATGAAGCTCCCCGGTCCTTGTCCAATGGTTAAAAGGTTCGAAAATTTCATCTCCCTCCAACGGATGAATTTTCATCACCTATATAAACTCACCTTCATCAACTAAGAAGGTGCTGGTTCATTATCACTCGACTTACTCACGTACAAAAGCTCTTGAAACATCTACAATCTACAAAAAGCTTTTGTGAACCAGTTTTTGAGGTGTTAAGTTATTTGGAGAATCACTTGTCTTATACCTCAAGGAAGTCTTGACATCAGTTTGTAGCTATCATATCTCAGAGTCAAGATCTCTTCGTTGGAGAACTCAAGAAATCTTTTTCTACCTACCTCAACTCAGGAGAAGAAGTTGATAGAGGCGGAGTAAACTCAAGGAGTTGAAAAACCTACGAAGGCTGTCCGGCTTAGTGATCAAGGAAGTCTTTGTGTAATTGTACTAAGAGTGATAGTGCAATCCTTCCAACAATTGTGGAAGAAGAGTGGAGTAGGCAACATTGGCCGAACCACTATAAAATCTCGTGTCATCTTTATCTCTTTACTTACGTTCTTTCTTTTTGCTTTCATATCACCTCTTCATTATCCTTACCGAAAGTTTGTCTAAGTACGCAAACTCGTGCAAGTATTTAAAACGAATCTATCTTATCCGCTGCGCCAAGACACCGAAAGGTGACGTTTAGGGCCTCTAACGAAAATAGTCTATTCACCCCCCCCCCCCCCCCCTCTAGACTCTCATCTCACTCTATCGGGACCAACATATGCGAAGGAACAACTGGAGTTTCACTTCCTCTGAGAATTGACAATTTTCTGGCCAATCCCTTGTCACCATGAACAAGGTTGAATTCTCCAAATTTGAGGGAGAAAGCTCCCAGCATCATCAAAAGCTTGCCTTCCCATGAAAATGTGGACAACATTTTCATAAAATAAATTATAGTCGAGTGTGGATCCATTTTATTTGAACACATCAATGACATCTGAACATACAAAACAATAAAAAAAAATTTTAAAAAAAATTACAAAAAAGTTATGTGGAGAATAATTCCACATTTATAACATAAACTATTATAACACAATTGGAAAATTATAATTTGATTATTGGAAAATATAGGTAATTAAAAAAATTCTCTTTATGTTTTTTCCTCAAAGAATTATTATACCTCAAAGGAAAACCTCTTGATTTGATAGGAAAGTTCCATGTCTTTAGGCTCCTCATCAAATTCCTCCTCATTTGACTTTTTGTCATCACTTTCTTCCTCATCAGACTTCTCATCATCTTCAGAGTCCTCATCTTCATGAACGATTTCTCCAACAATCTAAACCGTACATATCAACGATATAGATGAAAAAACAACAGAAACTTATCTCATCATGCATGAAATCCATAAATTATATGGACAATAATATTTGCCAAAATATAAAACATTTGTATTCTAAAAGTATAATGTAAGTAGTATATATGGTAACTGTATAAATTAAATTATACAACAAAATATGTACCCTGCATACCATAAAACTTCCAATACATACTTCGTATGTATTTTTGCTTGCTTGTATCAAATCAAACATAAAATTGAATATAAATATAAAGTAATAGTACGTAAATAGACAAACCATGATATGGATTGAAAAGAGAATCTTTTTCACGAAATTGAGGACATAACTTGTTTTAAAACCTTTGCCATCAGGATCATGAGTACTCAAAACTTCTTCCAAAATAACATTTTCATTAATGCTTGAACCTACCAAAGGTTGGTATTCCATTTTTAAGAAGTAGATAGGGAAAAGAGATGTAGCAAAGTTAAGGGAAAGAGCAGAGAAAATGGGGATATGATGGTTTGTGAATCAATTGTGTGGCTAACCGGCCTCTTAAATATATAGCATAAAAAATGGCATGGAATAGGACGAAGAGGGATAATTCTTTACTTCAGTATCGAGCAATTAAATGGGATCAATTTATTTGCTTTTAACTTAAAATCGTGCTTTACATAAAGTAAGGTGAGTATAGATGCCAAATACAAGTATTAAGTGTTTGTATACAATTTTATTTTAACATTTAATTAATATGATAAATATTAACAATATTTGGGACAACTCCCAATAAGTTGCTCATACTATTAGCTTGAAATCCAGAAGATTCTAAATTCGACTACTTCTAATTGGAGCAGCCTATTAATCTTGTCGATTAGTATGAGTAAATTAGACTGGTTTAACTCCATGTATTGTAGTGGGGTATTTCACCCAAGATAAAGAATTAAAGATAATATATTTCATTGCTCATATAAAGGAAATCAAGATCGTCCACAAAAACTTTAGGAAACAAGAGTTGTTTTGTTTTTGCTTGCAACAAACTCTAAATATAAAAGAAGATAAGAGTGAAATGAAAAAGTGGTTATGCAATATAACTTTAGTTTCCCTTAGCCTTCCCAGCTAGCTTTTCTCAAATGAGAGAGGTCTCAGGTTCAAACTCCAAGGGGCCAGGTCTCAGGTGCAGTGCGAAAGGATTAAGAAATATAACTACAAGTTTTGAACCTCTAACCTCTAAATTGAAATACAATAAAGACACATTCTTAGCATTTTTTCATAAAGCCTTTTAAATTTAATTGAAAAGTTTTAGTTTTTATTTCTAAACTAGCTAGATAAAAATTAAATAATGGACCTCTAAAATTTGGGGAACTGTGTTGTAGCCCAGCTTGCACAGCCCAAAATCCGGCCCTGGTGGGGCCATTGACTGTTTGTGCATCAGTAAATTGAGAAAGTATGTATGAACAGATATTACATTGTAACAGAGTCAGTAGTACTCAAAAAATTAATTAATGTCAATGCGCAATGAGTCACACACAGTGTTAACATACAGGATGCCTGCCTGGAATGATATGATGTAACAGTCTAACAGATCAGAGGATTGCAAATTATTGCGATCCACACAGTTGTGTGAACCATGACTCAATAATGTCGTTTTGGCGTTAAAAAAAAAAAAACAAAACAAAAAAACAAAACAAAAAAAAAACAAAAAACAAAAAAAAACAAAAAACAAAATTTCATTAGTCAATAACGGTATCTACTGCATCCGTTTATGTGTTAGAATAATAATGAATTTTTTGGTGTTAGATAATATATTTTATGAGCTTGAATAATATAATGGTGGAGTGTACAATTAATCATACGAATAAGGGATGGTCATGCTGGTAAATTAGTGGGATAATTAGTGAATAAATAAAAGGCTGCAATTTTTGAGAAAATAAGAATAATTAATCTTTTTGTTCATGTATGCTTGCAATGCAGTCCAAGAATACAAAAAGGAAGCTAAGGGTATAAAGAAAGAAATAATGCAACATGTTTTTTATCCGGCCCGTATATATTTTGCTGAAATTAATGAAAAAAGTGTACAAATTTTTGTGAAAATTAAATAAGAATTCATTTTACTACCATAGTTATTGAATTTCCGTAGTGTGCTAGCATAGTTCACTACGATTTAATATGGGAATTAAAGAACTCATCACAAAATGGTGGAAATTCAAAAACGAAGAAAATATGATTAAAACTAATCAGTTGTCATATCGTAGACTGCGGTGCACGTGCACCGTTTCTTTAAGTAAAGAAATGATGTGTCGTTAATTTTAACAGAGCGTGCATTTTTTGTATGTTAATTCTCAAACCGACACTAACTCATGTATTATTTTTATATTATCAAATGAAACTGCAGTTATATCAAAATGATAGTGTAATTGTGGTGAAATGAAACTGCAGTATATATAAAATGAAACTGAATAACATTTCACATATTTGAGTGTATATTGTACAATGAAGCTGTAATTATATCAAAATGATCATGTAGTTTATTATGTTTAATAAAACTATAGTGTATATAAAATAAAATTAAATAACATTTTCACATATTTGTGTCTATAAATATCGAATGAAACTGTAGTTATATCGAAATGAAATTGTAATTGTGTTGAACTGAAACTGCAGTGTATACAAAATGAAACTGAATAACAGAGTTACTTTTTGCGGAAGGGTGTGGAATGACGAGAAACAGATGTCTTTTTTTTTTTTTTCATTAAACAAAACGACGTCGTTTTAATGCGCGGTGCATAATCAATTATGCACCGTGGTGCACGATATAATTTGCCAAAATTAACACCATAATAGTAGTCCCTAGAACCATAGTTTATATTATCAATAATTTTATACAGTGAAATTAAAAATTGATTTTATAAAAATATTCATATTGACTTATAGTACGTAATGTGGATGCATGTCTCAAAATTTTATTGAATTATTATCTTTGAAAAATGCTTCAATTCCTATCCGAATGAGAAGCCATACATGCAATTTAACACAACGAGAAACAATAAACTGATGACTCAGCATAAAAAATTATATCTCTATTACAAATGATGTTGGTAACAAAAAAAACTTTCATATGCATATTCAAATACATCAAGTCTCATCAATATCAAACATTGTCGTGGCAGCACTTGAAAGTGACAAATTTTTGCATACCGTGACAACATTCAGGACATTTTACATTCTCTGGGACATTATCAAAATTACATGGGTATTTAAGGGTACATCGATGATGATGATGTTGTGAAGTAGAAGCAGAATGAAGCATCTCATCATGATAATCTTTGAATGCTTGGTCAAAGCCTTTAGCTATTGCATTCTCCTTCCATTTCTCATATTCATTCATCACCTTCAACATTTTATCTCCAATGTCACATACAACTATCTTGTTCCCTTTGCATAGCATAGCCCATTCGTTAACTACTAAATCGTTAGCTTCATAGGCTAGCAACTTTTTTACTCCTTGCAAAATTTCATCACACTCTTCATCACCATCAGTCTCTTCTACAAATTTAATCCTTGACATGAATATGCTTCGAAGCCGTGGCCAAAAAAACCATGAAGTAAAAGGATGACCTAGTACGTTGCAATTCTCGTCATCCTCAATCATTGATGCTACTTTCATATTACTACCAGCGTAGACCATCCTAATGTTTGATTGTGGGTTAAACTGATTTTGTAACATTACCTTGGACTCAAATGTTTTAACCCATTGTATGTCATTCCCACCAATTAAAAAAATGGACCTGTCCTCTTTAACCTGATACATCGATCCAAACAAGTTAGTACTATAAAATTTTAGAAATATAAAAGATTGTGCAACCAGTCGTTGACTTTATTAATTTTTTTTAATATATATTTTTTTTGTTTAAAAATTCAAAATTATTGTGATATTTAGGAAGTTACAGATGAATAGGATCAAAACTTATTGTAAACGAGAATGACATGTAAATTCATTCAGTGCATTTTATGTCATATTTATTATTTATCAGTTAAGCAATTTTTTTTTTCTTTACTTATTTTCTTTGATAATATATATATATTTTTTTACTTTTAAAATTTGACCATTTATGTTTAATCGTATTTTTAATAAAGTTTCTAAATATATAAATATATAAATTTTAAATAGTAATATTAAATTAAATATTATGTAGAATTGTTTTAAAAAAAATATTATGCAGAATTAAACTGTGTATAATTTAAAAGGCTCTAACTGGCATTAGACAAATTAAATAAAGTGGGAGAAAGAGTAGTTGCATTTGTGACATAGGAGTGATGAAGTTGGACATACCCAATCGGACGTGTCAGAACCCATATCTGCCACAAGCTTAGTGCACCAAGTTTCCATCTTCCATAAATCTTTTTCCTTGTTACTTGTGAAAATGTTATTATCAACCTATTTATAAAAAATAAACTGTTAATGCTATCACGCTACTTGATCATTTACAATTTTAAATTAAAGGAATGTATGTATGTGAGTTAACGAACTAATAAAACATACATTAAAATAAACATACCGGATTTTGTATTTGCTTTCCAATGTCACGGAACCAAGCATTTATTATACTATCCACTTTATTAGTGACTTCACTTATCTTCCTATTAATGTCAGGCACCAAATCCCTCACTGTCGAAACCCTTTCTGTCAACACTTTTTGTAATAAAGGAATTATACTGTCTCCAATCTTAACTCCAACATACATCCTTTCACTAATATCTAAACCTCTCATCAATAGCATGTCCATTGCATTACGATGAACCATCCTTCCATTTTGATCTAGCGAAACAATTATAGGCTCACCTCCTATTTGAAATTCTGGAAAGAATTTCTCTTTAATAAACCGTACAAATCCTGGTGCTACTGATTTCTGTACATTTCTCATCGAGAGTAATCTTTCTTTATTTACCAAACTTCTATATTGTTTTTTCATATGTTTAATATCCCATAATATAGGAGAGTCTAATATGGGAATCCAAAGCACATGCAATTTAGTTCTTCTCTGTATGAATCCAAGTAATAAAATCAAGACCTTGTCAATATTAAGACTTGACGATATTAACAGTAGCAAGCTCTTATTCTTCAACAAACATAACTCTACCTGCAATTCAACATTTTATATATATTATTTTATATTTATAATTAACATAACCAATATATAAGTAAACTGGACGTACATAGTACTTAATTAGCTTAGCAATCAAAAGTAGAAATTATTAATTGTTCAAATTTATGGCTAAGTGAGTAAGCTCGCTCATACCATTTTGTTGCGAGCGCCATCATATATGACTTTCTGTTTTCCACCTTTCTTGACATTGAATACTAACTTCAAAACATCCAAATTAGAAGAAGTAGTGGAGGAGGGGATTATTCGATTCTCATCAAAGAATGCATCACATAATGCATTGTAAGAATCCACTTCTCTCTTTTTTTTCTGCATATATCAATTCAAGTACTCATTAATTTAAATTCACTGTAAGTAATAATAATAACTTTAATTAATGTCCTATACTTGAATTTATTAAATCTAACCTAGTATTGGACGACAATCGGAGATTACGTCTTTGACTTTGATGGTTAAACTGGACAGTTGTGTTCCGCCACTTATTAAACACCTACAATAATAACGAAAACAATAATGACAACACAATATTCATAAATACTGATTATATATTGTATAGTGAAAATAAATCTTACCCTGAATGTCTACTGATAAGGCTAGAAGTGAAATAGGATGCATAAGTAAGGATACTTGTGACGATCCAATAGCAACCAATCGGTATGATTAGTGATGAATTATGAGAGGATGATTGTGCAAGCTCAATAATATGCTCATTCAAATGTTGGATTGATTTCATAAAATGTGCATCCATTGGCAGAACTTGACTTTCACGCCCCTTGAGAATTGACAATTTGGCAGACAATCCCTTATTGTGACCATAAATAAGGCTGAATTCTCCAAAATTGAGGGAGAAAGCTGCCAGCATAATCAAAAGCTTGCTTTCCCAGGAAAATGTGGACAACATTCTTAGAAAATATATTACCATTGAGTGTAGATTCACATTATTTGGACACATCAATGATATCTGAATAAAGAAAGAAAAATTTTAGACTATTAAAATTATTATATGTAAACTACATATTACATCATGAATTCATGATACTATTTTACCAAGACTCATGAAAATCAGGCATTCTGTAGAAAAGTTATAACTAAACTATAGTATATGTGGAGAATAATAATTACACATTTATAAAGTTAACTATTAATATATATACGATTGGCCTATTATAATTTGACTAGAAAATTTAAGGAAATAAATTATCTCTTAATTTTTCCTCAAATTAATTAGAGAATTACCTCAGAGGAAAACCGCTTTAATTGATAGGGAAGTTCCATGTCAATTTGCTCCTCATCATTAGAATTTTTGTCACCAATAGAGTCTTCCTCTTCAGATTTTTCGCCATTAAAGTCATCTTCATCATATTTGTCACCATTAGAGTCTTCCTCATCCGACTTCTGGCCATTAGAGTCATCAATGCTTTCTCCAACCTAAATTATATATCATCCAACGAAATATATAGAGAAAACACAACAAACTCATTAAAACCCGATTAAGTAATCATGCATGAAATCCATATATAAATCATCCTGCGGAATGTTATTTATTTATTTTTTTAATGATTTATAGTGAAACTATATTATGATCTGAGCAATTATTATATATTAATGACACTTAGATAGTCCGATATACAATAAATGTTTTTGTCCTGCAATCTATTCATCATATCAAAAAAACTCTTGAGAAATCTATCTATATACTATATAATATAACATAAGAGTATAAATTCCCACCTAACAACCAAGTTCTTACCTCATTCAATATAACATATATCAAGATTTAAATAGTTAATTAGAATTCCATAAAACATGAAACCTATATATACCATAAAACTTCTAACAAATACTTGTTATATATGTACTAGGACTTACTCTTACAAAATAAAACTTAAACTTTAACATCAATGTAAATTAATAATAAATACACAAACCGTAGTAGTATAGAGAATGCTCTTCACCAAATCGAAGATAACATTAATTTTAAAATTTTCTTTGCTATCTGGATCATGTGTACTCATAACTTCTTCCGAGATCACACTTTCGTCATTGATGTGTGGAACTGCCATCTTTGATAGAGACTAAGGCTAGTTTGTCTATTTACTTGGGTAAAGAGAGCTTGCAGATTTAGGTCGGGAAAAAGTAGAGAAAACGTTGCTGGTTTGTGAATCAATTGTGTAACTAACCTCTTATATTTATAGCATTAAAAATGGAATAGGATGAAATGGGACAATTCTTTGCTTCAATTGTGAGCAAATAAGTAGAACCAATTTATTTGCTTTAACTATGTATATAGTATATGGTGAGTATAGATACCAAATTTAATTAATAAGCTAAGTATATAACATATATTTTAATTTTTAATATCATAAAGAATAAACTATTTTACCTTTCCCTCCAATAGAAGTAAAATATTATCTAACATTGAAAAAATTTGTTCACCTAATGCTCTATCCTTAAGTACTCTCCATGACATATTGACATGAGTACTTCAATTCACTCTTAATATAAAACAAATTCTTTAAGACATTAAAGTTGTTTTATTTTTTTATTTTTTCTTGCAACACACTCCAAATATAAAAGTAAAAGAAAAGTGAAAAGAGGATGTGTTACTCACTTTGTCAGAGATTTACTTTGAACTATAACTTATTAGGAGTGAATAAAAAAAGTGAACAAAATTTGAATAAATAGGAGTTCTTTTATTCTTGCTTGTAATGCTGTTATTCTAATTATAAAAGAGGAGAAAAGTAAATGTGAGGGACACAAAAGAAAGGGTCCAAAAATGTATTGATTGTGGTAACAAAACAAAAGAGTGGAATTAAATTTATTTTTTCGAATTGTATGACAAATTAATGTCCTTCAGATCAATTCATATATAAAAAGGATCATATCCCTTAGCTTCAGCACAGCTCACAGTGAACTTATTGATCTGATTTGATCTGAGTCAATATAATTATTCAAGCTGCTGAAAAAGATTGCAACTTTTAATTTAGACGAAATTAATTAAGTAGAGGGCGAGCAAAGAATATAATTAATTTTGTTTAAATTAAGAAAATTAAACAATGCAAATTAAAGGCTCTTCTTCTTCGCAATAGTCATAAACAGGCAGGATTGTAGCTGCGCTATTGATCTCATTTGATTGGCTTCGTTTAATTTTCAATTGTATAGTAGGATGTCATTCACCTCTTATTTTTCTCTTAAGGTGATGTTTGGTTCATAAACTAAATTAAGAAAGAAATATCATTTCATGAAATATATTTATTATACTGTTTGTTTCGATTTTTACAGTAAGGAATAAAATTCCCAAGACTCCCTTAGTATTAGTTGTTTTTAACTTATTAGGAATAATTATTATTTTTTTATTAATCTAAAAGTACATATATTTCCAAGCATCATTCAAGCCCCTATGAATAATCAGTCAATTACACATCATTGCTATGGTACAATAATATACTTCTATGTTATTTTTTTCAGTTTCATATGTGCGTGTATATATATATAGTTTCGATCTGTTTTTTTTTTTTTTTTTTTCAAGTTTCATATATTCGTATATACGTATCTATATCTATTCTATTCCTTTCTTACTCCATTATATTTCTGTTGAAATTCTATTCTATTTACTTTATTTTTATTCTTTGAACCAAAATGTTGCGGCTACTTCGAATCTTAAACATAGTGCTATTATAATATTCACCATCCAGCACCTCTTCATTGCACACTCAATACCCGCCTGTTTAGAAGCTAATTAAATGCAAGAGTTAATTCCACCAGAGGTCCCTTATTTTTTGTGGTAATTTTAAATTTAATTTCATATTATCATTTTTGTCATTTAACATCCCAGACTATTAGTTTTTGGACACTTTTAGTCCTTCTTATTACTTTTCCTATTTTTAGTCATGACATTTTTGTCTATTCATATTTTTCTTTTGTTATTTTTCCTGTTTCAACCGGTTTAATTGGTTTATCATTGAAAAATGTTTTTATAAGAATATTCATATTAACTAATAGTACGTAATGTCGATGCATGTCTCAAAATTTTATTGAATTATTATCATTGAAAAATGCTTCCTATCCGAATGAGAAGCCATACAATTTAACACAAGGAGAAACCAAATAAACTGATGACTTAGCATAAAAAATTATACCTCTGTTACAAATAATGTTGGTAACAAAAAAAAAAAAAAACTTTCATATGCATATGCAAATTAAATACATCAAGTGTTATCAATATCAAACTAAGTACATCCTAATCAGAATCCTCCTCAGAATCATCAACATTGTCGTGGCAGCACTTGAAAGTGACAAATTTTTGCATACCGTGACAACACTGAGGGCATTTTACATTCTCTGGGACACTATCAAAATTAGATGGGTATTCAAGGGCACATCGATGATGATGATGTTGTGAAGTAGAAGTAGAATGAAGCATCTCATGATAATCTTTGAATGCTTGGTCAAAGCCTTTAGCTATTGCATTCTCCTTCCATTTGTCAAACTCATTAATGACCTTCAGCATTTTATCTCCGATGTCACATACAACTATCTTGTTCCCTTTGCATAGCATAGCCCATTCGTTAACTACTAAACAGTTAGCTTCATAGGCTAGCAACTTTTTTACTCCTTGCAAGATTTCATCACACTCTTCATCATCATAAGTCTCTTCTAAGAATTTAATCCTTGACATGAATATGCTTCGAAGCCGTGCCCAAAACAACCATGAAGAATGAGGATCACCTTTTACGTTGCAATTCTCGTCTTCCTCAATCATTGATGCTACTTTCATGTTACTACCAACGTAGAGCATCTTAATTTTTGATTGTGGGTTAAACTCAATTTCTTTTACCTTCAACTCAAATGTTTTAACCCATTGTATGTCATGCCCGCCAATTAGAAAAACGCACTTGTTCTTTTCAACCTGATAAATCCAAACAAGTTAGTACTATAAAAATTATTAATGGTATAAAATTTTAAATTGTGCAACCAGACGTTGATTTTATTGTTATTTTTTCTATATTTTTATTTTTATTTTTTGGTTAAAATAAAACCCATTTCAAACTTTTTCTTCTTTACTTATCTTCTATAATAATATATATGTTTTTTCTTTACTTTTAATATTGGACCATTTATGTTTAATAATATATTTTTAATAAAGTTTTTAAATATATAAATTTATATACTAATATTAAATTAAATATTATGCAGAATTGTTTCAAAAAAATTATGCAAAATAAAACTGTATAATTTAAAAGGCTCTAACCAGCATTAGACAAAGTAAATAAAGTGGGAGAAAGAGTAGTTGCATTTGTGACATAGTAGTGATGAAGTTGGACATACCCACTTGGATATTTTGTAGTCATCACTCGGATCAGCTGCCACAAGTTTAGTGCACCAAGTTTCTATCTTCCATAAATCTTTTTCCTTCTTACTTGTGAAAATGTTACTATTAACCTATTCATAAAAATAAGCGATTAATGTTATCACGCTAAGCTACTCGATCATTTATAATTTTAAATCGAAAGAATATATGTATATGTGAGTTAACGAATAATAAAACATACATTAAAGTAAACATACCGGATTTTGTATTTGTTTTTCAATGTCATGGAACCAATTATTTATTATACCATCCACCTTTTTAGCGACTTCACTTATCTTCTTATCAATGCCAGGCACCAAATCCCTCACCGTCGAAACCCTTTCTATCAAAACCTTTTGTAATAAAGGAATTATGCTATCTCCAATCTTAACTCCGCCAGACATCCTTTCACAAATATCTAAACCTCTCATCAATACCATCTGCATTGCATTACGGTGAACCATCCTTCCATTATGATCTAGTGAAACAATTATAGGCTCACCTCCTATTTGGAATTCTGGAAAGAATTTCTCTTTAACAAACCTTAAAAATCCTGGTGCTACTGATTCCTGTACATTTCTCACTAAGAGTATTTCTGATTCATTTACTAAACTTTCATATTGTTCTTCCATATGTTTAATATCCCATAATGTAGAAGAGTCTAATATCGGAATCCAAAATACTGGCAATTGAGTATTGCCTTGTATGTATCCAAGTAATGAAATCAAGTACTTGTCAATATCAAGACTTGACGATATTAATAGTAGCAAGCTCTTATTCTTCAAAAAATGTAATTCCACCTGCAGTTCCCAAATTTTTTATATATTATTTTATAATTACAATTAAGATAACAAATATATAAGCAAACTGGATACTTAATTAGCAATCAAATCAAAAGAAATTATTAATTATTCAAATTTAGGGCTAACTGAGTAAGCTCATACTATACCATTTGTCCCCTATCACCATCATATATGAGTTTCTGTTTCCCACCTTTCTTGGCATTGAATACTAACTTCAAAACATCCAAATTAGAAGAAGTAGTAGAGGAGGGGATTATTGGATTCTCATCAAAGAATGCATGACATAATGCATTGTAAGTATCCACTTCTCTCTTTTCTTCTGCATATATCAATTCAAGTACTCGTTAATTTAAACTCACTGCAAGTAATAATAACTTTAATTTCGGCCTTGAATTTATTAAACCTAACCTAGTATCGGGCAGCATTCGGAGATTATGTCTTTGATTTTGACATTTAAACAAGAAAGTTGTGTTTCTTCAGCTATAAAACACCTACAATAATAACGAAAACAATAATGACAAACACTATGTTCATACATATTGATTATATATTTATAATCAATGTTTATCCGATCTATACAAACTCAATAATTAACATTTTGGGAAAATACTCCTTATCTCACTACTGGAAATTATGAAATTTTCGACCACCTAAAAGTGATCTTAAATCAAGTCGAAAGCCTTGTTACGACCACTTTTGGTATCCGGAAAAACTTTTGTTGCTATTTCCGATCATTTTTTGGTATTAACTTGATTTAAGATCACTTTCAGGTGGTCAGAAATTCCATAATTTCCCGTAGTGTCTAAGAGCTTGTAATGACTTATGCACACCTTATCTAAGTTATTTAAAACATATAATAATGCATTGTAAAATGAAATTAAATCTTACTCTGAATGCATACTCATAAGGCGAGAAGTGAAATAGGATGCATAAGTAAGGATACTTGTGACGATCCAATAGCAACCAATCGGTATGATTGGTGATGAATTATGAGAGGATGATTGTGCAAGCTCAATAATATGTTCAGTCAAATGTAGGATTGATTTCATAAAATGTGCATCCATTGACAGAACTTGACTTTCACGCCCCTTGAGAATTGACAATTTGGCAGACAATCCCTTATTGTGACAATGAATAAGGCTGAATTCTCCAAAATTGAGGGAGAAAACTGCCAGCATAATCAAAAGCTTGCCGTCCCAGGAAAATGTGGATAACATTTTCAGAAAATATACTACAATCGAGTGTAGATCCACATTTTTTGAACACATCAATGACATCTGTAAATTTTAAAATTATTAAAAATTCTTTACGTAAAGTACTTATTGCATCATAAAATCATGATACTATTTTACAAAGATTCATGAAAATTAGGTATTTGCTATAAAATTTTCTAATTAAATTATAGTATGCGGAGAATAATTGCACATTTATAAAGTTACCATTATAGCACATATATATAATTGACCTACCAAGACTATACGGTCAAATGGTATCCGGGCTGGATTTCCATTTGGAAGGTTGTGAGTTTGAGCCTCAATGGAGGTATTATTGGTGCTTTGTGTTTCAGTAGGTTGATAAAGTATATGAACGGTTATAATCTGATTGAAAAATTTAAGAAAAACAAATATCTTTTTAATTTTTTCTTCAAATTAGAGAATTACCTCAAAGGAAAAGTGTTTTAATTGATAGGGAAGTTCCACGTCTTTAGCATATTCCTCCTCACTGTCAAATTCCTTCTCATCATCAAACCTTTTTTTACTGTCAGATCCCTCCTCATTAGACTTTTTGTCATCATCAGACTCGTCGCCATTTGAGTCTCCCTCATCAGACTTGTCGTCATTAGAGTCTTCCTCATCAAACTTGTGGCCATTAGAGTCTTCCTCATCGGACTTGTCGCTAATAAAGTCTTCTTCATCAAACTTGTCATTAGAGTCTTTCTCATTAGACTTGTCGCCATTACTCCCATTAGAGTCTTCCTTATCAGAATCTTCATCTTCATCTTCATCAATGCTATCTCCAATCTAAATCATATATCATCCAATGAAATATATAGACCAAAACACAACAAACTCATTAAAATCCAATTAAGTTATCATGCATGAAATCCGATCCATATACAAATCATCCTGCGGAATGTTATTTAATTATTTTATTTTAGTGATTATACTGAAACTATTATGAGCAATTATTATTTATTAATGGCACTTAAATATATAGTTAGATATACAATGAATGTTTTTGTCCTGCAATCTTTTCATCAAAGTACTCTTTAGAAATTTATATAATATATACTATAACATAGAGTAGAATAAATTCCCACCTAATAACTTGAAGTTTAAGATAAATGTAAATTAATAGTATATACACAAACCGTAGTAGGATAGAGAATGCTCTTCACCAAATTGAAGATAACATTAATTTTAAAATTCTTTTTGTCATCTGGATCATGTGTACTCATAACTTCTTCCAAGATAACACTTTCATTGATGTCTGAAATTGCCATCTTTGATAGAGACAAAGGTTGGTTTGTCTATTTACTAGGGTAAGGAGAGCTTGCAGGATTTAGGCCGGGGAAGAAAAGAGAAAATGTTGCTGGTTTGTGAATAAATTGTGTAGCTAACCTCTTATATTTATAGCATTAATTAAAAATGAAATAGGATGAAAAGGGACAATTCTTTGCTTCAATTGTGAGCAAATAAGTGGAATCATTTATTTGCTTTAACTATATAGTATGGTGAGTATATATAGATGCCAAATTTAACTAATAAGTATACATATATTTTGATATTTAATATGATAAAGAATAAAATATTTTACCTTGCCCTCCCAGAAGTAAAATACTATCTAACTAATATTGAGGAACTTTAACAATATTAATCTTCACCTAATGCTCTATCGATCGTATCCTTAAGTACTCTCCATGACATGGAGTATTTCAATTCACTCCCAATACAAGAAAATATCAATGATCATATAAACAAATTAAAGGAAATCAAGAATAGTTCACAAAATATTTAGGACATTAAAGTTGTTTTATTTTTTTCTTGCAACACACTCCAAATATAAAAGAAAAGTGAAAAGAGCTAGCTAGTAGTGTTAATTAAGGAAATTAGCTGTTAGTGTGCAAACTTATGTGATCCTATCACCATTTTATGCTTCTAATCCCTTCATGCTTTAGCACTGCTCACAGACTCACAGTAGCCTTATTGATAAGAGTGCAATTCAAGTTGCTTAAATAAAAGATACAGCTTTTAGACCAAAGTAGAGGGTGAGGAAAGAATATATAACTTCAATTTCTTTAAAGTAGAGGGTGAGGAAGAAGTTTGTGTAGGAGGAACTAAGTAAAAAAAATTAAACAAAGTTGCTACTATACTATTGTAAAACTTAACGAACCAAAAATAAGACAAAAAACTTGTGTGAGATGGTCTCACGAATTCTTGTCCGTGAGACAGGTCATGTCAAAATGAAAATGTAATACTAGTTAGGATTAAAGTATTTGTTACTTATAAGGGAAAGTGTAATACTTTTAAAGAAAAATGTAATATATTTACATTTTGATTTAAAAGTATTACATTTTTTCGTATTACATTTTCCCTTATAAGTAACAAATACTTTATTCTTAATTAGTATTACATTGTTCTATATATATATTACATTTTCATCTTGACTTGACCCGTCTGACCAATAAAGATCCATAAGACGGTCTCATCACATGATAGACACTCAAAAATAAAGAGTGACTCTCTTGTGAGGCTGTCACATGGATCCTTATTTATGAGACGAGTCAGGTCAAGATGAAAAATATAATACTTATAATGAAGTTACTGAACAATATAATATTAATCAGGAATAAAGTATTTGTTACTTATAAGGGAAATATCATGCTCATATAAAGAAAATCAAGATCATCCAACAAAACTTTAGGAAACAATCTTAGAGCTCTTTTGTTTTTGCTTAGAACACACTCTAAATATAAATGAAGAGTGAAAAGAAAAAGTGGTTCTGATTTTGTCTATTAGAGATTTACTTTAATTTTCACCATAAATTGTTAAGAGTGAATTAAGAAAGTGAACAAAATTTGAAGAGATTATTCTTGCTCACAATGGAAGCATATATTCTAAATATAAAAAAAAAAAATTGATAAAAGTGAATGTGTAACACATTTTCAAGTTATATCTAAAGTAAAATTAAAATAAAAAATAAATAAATAAATAAATAAATAAATAAATAAACAAAACAAAACAACGAATGACACTTATTATGATATTATTAGAATATATATTGAACAAAGTTAATATTAGAGAGTTGTGATATAATATGTCTGTTGGTTTTTGAACATAGTTTGGCTATTATGAAGAGATTGCAAGATAAAGTCATTATAGGGACATTTGCCTGCACACTTAGATATTTCGAAGGAAGATAAAGTTGAAATGAGAAGGGGCGAATGGTTTAGGTGAATTAATACCCAAAATCGTCTTCGACTATAGTGGTTTTTCTCAATTTTGTCCTAAACGACTTTGGTGACTTAATGTAGTCCCAGAGTTTTGTGTTTTTACTCAATTTCGTCCCAGACTTTTGTGTTTTTGCTCAATTTAGTCCCCCATTTGTTATTCCGTCCATTTGTTGTTAAATAAATAGACAATTAAGTAATTTTAATATTGGCATCTCTTTATTCATAGACATGTGAAGTGCGAAATTCCTCTTTTTTTACGAATTATTCCCAGAATCACTTCTAAAGCTGCGAATATAAAATTTGATTCGTAGGTCTGAGTAACAAGATAATAATAGTCCGTAGAACCATAGTTAATATCATCAATAATTTTATACAGTGAAATTAAAAATAGATTTTATAAAAATATTCATATTGACTTATAGTACGTAATGTCGATGCATGTCTCAAAATTTTATTGAATTATTATCTTTGAAAAATGCTTCAATTCCTATCCGAATGAGAAGCCATACATGCAATTTAACACAACGAGAAACCAAATAAACTGATGACTCAGCATAAAAAATTATACCTCTGTTACAAATAATATTGGTAACAACAAAAAACTTTCATATGCATATGCAAATACATCAAGTGTGATCAATATCAAACTAATTAAGTACATCCTAATCAGAATCTTCGTCATCATCATCAACAACATTGTCGTGGCAACACTTGAAAGTGACAAATTTTTGCATACCGTGACAGCATTCAGGGCATTTTACATTCTGTGGGACACTATCAAAATTACATGGGTATTTAAGGGCACATCGATGATGATGATGATGTTGTTGTGAAGTAGAAGCAGAATCAAGCATCTCATCATGATAATCTTTGAATGCTTGGTCAAAGCCTTTAGCTATTGCATTCTCCTTCCATTTCTCATATTCATTCATCACCTTCAACATTTTATCTCCAATGTCACATACAACTATCTTGTTCGCTTTGCATAGCATAACCCATTCGTTAACGACTAAATTGTTAGCTTCATAGGCTAGCAACTTTTTTACTCTTTGCAAAATTTCATCACCATCAGTCTCTTCTACAAATTTAATCCTTGACATGAATATGCTTCGAAGCCGTGGCCAAAAAAACCATGAAGTAAAAGGATGACCTAGTACGTTGCAATTCTCGTCTTCCGCAATCATTGATGCTACTTTCATATTACTACCAGCGTAGACCATCTTAATTTTTGATTTTGGGTTAAACTGATTTTGTAACATTACCTTGGACTCAAATGTTTTAACCCATTGTATGTCATTCCCACCAATTAAAAAAATGGACCTGTCCTCTTTAACCTGATACATCCAAACAAGTTAGTACTATAAAATTTTAGAAATATAAAAGATTGTGCAACCAGTCGTTGATTTTATTAATTTTTTTTTAATATATATTTTTTTGTTTAAAAATTCAAAATTATTGTGATATTTAGGAAGTTACAGATGAATAGGATCAAAACTTATTGTAAACGAGAATGACATGTAAATTCATTCGGTGCATTTTATGTCATATTTATTATTTATCAGTTAAGCAAACTTTTTTTTTTTCTTTACTTATTTTCTTTGATAATATATATATATTTTTTATTTACTTTTAAAATTTGACCATTTATATTTAATCGTATTTTTAATAAAATTTTTAAATATATAAATTTTAATAGTAATATTAAATTAAATATTATGTAGAATTGTTTTAAAAAAAATATTATGCAGAATTAAACTGTGTATAATTTAAAAGGCTCTAACCGGCATTAGACAAATTAAATAAAGTGGGAGAAAGAGTAGTTGCATCTGTGACATAGCAGTGATAATTTCACATACCCAATCGAACGTGTCGTAACCCATATCTGCCACAAGCTTAGTGCACCAAGTTTCCATCTTCCATAATTCTTTTTCCTTCTTACTTGTGAAAATGTTATTATCAACCTATTCATAAAAATAAACTGTTAATGTTATTACGCTACTTGATCATTTACAATTTTAAATTAAAGGAATATATGTATGTGAGTTAACGAACTAATAAAACATACATTAAAATTTCCTCAAAAAAAAAAAAAAAAAAAAAAACATACATTAAAATAAACATACCGAATTTTGTATTTGCTTTTCAATGTCACGGAACCAAGCATTTATTATACTATCCACTTTATTAGTGACTTCACTTATCTTCCTATCAATGTCAGGCACCAAATCTCTCACTGTCGAAACCCTTTCTGTCAACACTTTTTTTAACAAAGGAATTATGTTGTCTCCAATCTCAACTCGAGCATACATCCTTTGACTAATATCTAAACCTCTCATCAATAGCATGTCCATTGCATTACGGTGAACCATCCTTCCATTATGATCTAGCGAAACAATTATAGGCTCCCCTCCTATTTGGAATTCTGGAAAGAATTTCTCTTTAACAAATCGTACAAATCCTGGTGCTACTGATTTCTGTACATTTTTCACTGAGAGTAATTTTTCTTTATTTACCAAACTTCTATATTGTTTTTTCATATGTTTAATATCCCATAATATAGGAGAGTCTAATATGGGAATCCAAAGCACATGCAATTTAGTTCTTCTCTGTATGTATCTAAGTAATAAAATCAAGTACTTGTCAATATTAAGACTTGACGATATTAACAATAGCAAGCTCTTATTCTTCAACAAACGTAACTCCACCTGCAATTCAACATTTTATATATATTATTTTATATTTACAATTAACATAACCAATATATAAGTAAACTGGACGTACATTGTACTTAATTAGCTTAGCAATCAAAAGTAGAAATTATTAATTGTTCAAATTTATGGCTAAGTGAGTAAGCTCGCTCATACCATTTTGTTGCGAGCACCATGATATATGAGTTTCTGTTTCCCACCTTTCTTGACATTGAATACTAACTTCAAAACATCCAAATTAGAAGAAGTAGTGGAGAAGGGGATTATTCGATTCTCATCAAAGAATGCATCACATAATGCATTGTAAGAATCCACTTCTCTCTTTTTTTCTGCATATATCAATTCAAGTACTCATTAATTTAAACTCATTGTAAGTAATAATAATAACTTTAATTAATGTCCTATACTTGAATTTATTAAATCTAACCTAGCAT